GGGAAGAGCGACGAAAGCGGATATCTCAAATTATACGCTGGTGTAATTAGTGAGATGTAAGCGGTTCATCGACGGGCTCTAACGCCCACGACGTTCAAACTTTGGCTATGAATTGGGAACGAGACAGCTAAGTATTATCGATTTTCTCATGTTATCACCTATGGCCATTCCTTTCGATCGTTAAATCAACATATACCGATACAACGAAAGAAAATTACTCTTTCTCTCTCTCTCTCTCTTTCTCTTTCTCTTTCTGTATATGTGTGCATATACATTGTTTTACATTATATTTTAATTATATTGTAATTATGTTTAATTATATCATTTTAATTATATATATATATATATTTTTTTTTCTCTTTTATTCAAAAGCATTTCGTATTTCTAATTAATTAAATGTATATTTTAACGAAAAGTTAAAACATTTTTGTAAAATAGATAATTAAAAAGAGAATATAATTTTAAAAATAATTTTGATAATACTTCATGCTTGTACTGTTTGTTTACGTTATGACAATCAAATATCGGATAGTATGTTATTTTTTTATAAATTTAATTTGTTCAATTTGCAAGTAATAAAACGATATATTTGACATGAATGAAACGCGAAAAATTCTAACATACAAAATAACGGGAAAAAGAAACTTTGGTGTGATAAAGAAAGAAAAAGAAAAAACAAGAAAGAAAGAAAAAAAGCAGAAAGGTTTAGTAAAGGATTCCAAGAGAAAATTCGTTAGGATCGGAAGGAGAGCGTGCCAACGTCACCGAGGTTTTCTCTAATTTTATGATATTTTTTATTTCCCCGATCTGACTCGAATGGCTGAAATGAAACTTTCGCAAAAAGTTTGTTGTCACGACTTTCGAGGATACGTTTCCCCAATGGTAAAAGTAAAATAAATATGAGTAGATTCCAGGCTGTGGTTATCCGAAATCGAAACTTTTTCGATACTTTGTCTCTCTCATAGTTACTTATTTCTAGTGAAAAAAAATATCAAAAAAATATAACCGTTTCGTTAAAGATATTTTTTCCTCATTTTTCTCGATCTCTATCGATCTCTATAGATTCATTAATAGTTTAGAAAACTAGACAAATAGATAAAGACGTTTCATACAAAATCGGACAAATTTGTCGTGGTATCGCACTTTAACGATTATAAGAAAGTAGAACATATTAATTTAATTAATACGGTCGTTGCGTGGCGAGCATGAGAGAGAGAGAGAGAGAGAGAGAGAGAGAGAGAGAATAAATTCTTAAAATTTAGGTCAACGATCGATAGACCACCACGGAGCTGGGTCATCTTTTAAAGCCGCTGAAACTTTTCTCCTCTCTTCTCAGCTTCCTTCATCATTACTTCAGATTCCCAAGACAGAGATTAAAAAATTGAATTAGATCCCTTGAGAAGGGACTTTTCTCTCTCTCTCTCTCTCTCTCTCTCTCTTTCTCTCTCGATAAAGATCGATCTCAATCCTGGTGGATCATTAAAATCGGGAACGCTCAAATAAAATCACGCTCGGTTAGAGAGACGAGCGTGTCGAGCTCGCAAACGTTGCATTATTATTGCGAATCCGCAGCTCTACCCGCGTTATTCACCCACCGAATAAATTATCTCGTGTTTGCTTGGGATCTGCAAGAGAAATGTGGAATTTGTGTGTACCTGCGCTCTTCTATGTGTGTAAAAGAGAGAGAGAGAGGGAGAGAGAGAGAGAGAAAGGACATTCATCGTCATGGACGAGTTCGATCGACGCGCAATAAATCCGGCTTGACCAATTCACCAGCCGCGATAACGTTACTGAAAAAAAAAAAAAGAGTAAAAATATCCTGAAGCTTCGAAATGACGCTTCGAGGCGAAAGATTATGCGAATTTTCACTCTTCATCGCTTCAGCTATCGTTCCAGAGAAAATTCTACCTTCTCTCGTTCAATCCAATCTTCACCTGTTTTATCTGTTTTATTTGATGATTTTCCTTTTTTTTTCTTTTTTGCTTCTTTTAAAAACGAACAGAATTTTTGCCTTTTTTTTCTTTCTTTCTTTCTTTCTTTTGTTACGATAAAACTTCGACAATAGAATCTACTTTCTTTTTACAATGTTCGTGATATTTACTTAAACCATGTTATATACGTACATAAATAGAAATGAACGAAATGTCTTAGATACATAAAGTCAAAGAGAATTTTAACGTTTAACATCGTCATTTATACTCACTGTCAATATTGTTATCAGTGTTATATTGACTGGCCTTGGTTCGTAATAAATCGGAAATCGATTGGAAAAGAACTGGTCGTGTTTCATTACGAGCATCGAGAAAATTGAATCATTCGCTTGCAGATTTATTAATTTTCTCTGGTACATCGTGAACAAGGGATGGTAGTAGGGAGGAGGGGGTGGGAGAAATCGTAGATATCGTCGTGTTCTCGACGGACGTTGGAGTCGATATATCGACAAATCCACGACGAGTAGACGTATCGCCAAGCTCGGAACAATTACCATTTCCCGGTAGGTCGTTCGGAGTGCTCGTTTCCTCGCGCATTCCGCTTCGTATCGAGCGGAATAAATCTTGCGTCTTGACGTCTACGAGCGATACAGAAGGAAGAAAGGGGAGACAGAGACAGACAGAGAGAGAGAGAGAGAGAGAGAGAGAGAGAGAAAGTCAGTTGAAAAGAGACAAAAGCGAACTTCTCCGTGTTCTGTTTCCACCTTTCTGAACATCCTTTTACTACTTACGATAAACATTGTCTTCGGCTTTCTTTTTCTCTTTATCCTTTTCCCAAAATTTATCTACCTCATTCTGTTCGTATTTTTATATATATATATATATATATATATATATATATATCCAGCTAAGTTATACTGTAATCTGTTTTTAAAACGTTATATTGTATTAATTATCTATATCGTAATTATTCTTTATTATTTATCACCAACAATTTATCGATGAATTTTTGTCGATAATAGTCGAAATAAATATCTTTCTCTTTCTTTCCCATTCTTTTTATTTCCACCAGTCGATAGACATCTAATTTTTCGTGCGCGACTATTAACGAGAAAACTTTTTTTTTCTCGTTTAACGATCCAACGAACGTACCGCGAATTGATCCTCGAACGACGAAAAGCTACGAGATACGTCCTACATCGGTGGTCGCTTTAATGGCTCATTCGGCGATACGCCAGCAAAAGCGTTCGAACGTGAGCCATAAGATTTTGACCTCCTTTCTGGATACGTCAAAATTGTGTCACGAGAAGAAATAGCATCCTGCGAGTAAAATCAGCCAGTTCCCTTCCTTTCCATCTTCAAAATTGTCGCAAACGTGCTAGTTTCTTTTCGCGTAGTGTCGTTACAAAAAGAAAAAAAAAATAAAAAATAAAAAAAGAAGAAGGAAAAGAAAAAGGGAGAAAAAAGAATATCACTAACGATTAGAGCTTTAAAGAAAATCAATTTCCAAAGAGAAACGATAAGAATTTTATAATCAATTTAATATCACATATAATGAATCCTATCTCTAAAGTCATTACGATCAAATTTATCCGTGATTCGCTTAACTATTATTTTATCTCCATTTCTATATTTTGTAGACCTTTCTCACGCAACAATAGCGTAATTCTTTTTTCCCCTGAAGAAAATATTGTAACGATCGCTACGTGCAGAAATGGGAGAGCACGTGAAAAGGTAGGGAAAAAAATGGATGAGGAAAAGGGTGAGGTAAAAGGGAAAAAGAACGAGAACAGAAAAAAAGAAAAAAAAAAGAAAAAGGGAGGGAGAGAAAGAGAGAGAGAGAGAGAGAGAAGGACTTCGTAGAAAATGAGCTGGGCTTGCGGGTTTTCTAGAGTAAACGCAAGTACAAACATTTCGACGATTCCTACGACGTGTTACGAGTAAGCCTGCAAAACACAGCGAATAATCTCGAAGGAAGTAGCAATTGCGACTGAAGAGAAAAAGAGAAATAGGTAGAGGAAGAGAGAGAGAGAGAGAGAGAGAGAGAGAAGTTGAGAGTTTTAGAGAAACGTCGGCTTTTGTGCGATTATCATCATGCTCGCTTGTGGTTAGTCGACATAGATATACAATAATATCTAAAATTCTCACGTTTCTCTCTCTCTCTCTCTCTCTCTCTCTCTTTTCCTCTCACCTCGGTATTAAGAAATTTATGTGTTTCGCGCCATCGCCCAACGCTCTTTAATATATGCATACGCGAAGCATAGAAACGTTCGAAGTTCGCCCATCGACGAGGAAAGTATCGAGTTCGTGTGTCGGTTAACGACCATCCTGTTCCACTCTTACTACCACCCCTTTTACTCAACATACTCTTCTCTTCTCCTTCCTCTTTATATTCTGAATGCCGTCTCACGGCACATTCTTGTTCACTCACGAGAAAATAAACCAACTTGCTTTTCAGAGTTTCCACCGTTCGAATAATTGAGATTATCGTTTGGTTAATTCAGCCATTGTATTACTTCAATCTCTCTCTCTCTCTCTTTCTCTCTATTTTTCTTTCTCTTTCTCTTTTTCTTTCGAATATGTTCATGAACTTTCTCGATAAGACGAAACTTCAGATTCGTGATTAGACTTTAAACGTAAGATCACTCCGACTGATCATTTGATAGATTTCAAGAAAAGCGATCGTTCTTGAAAAGCATGTTTATCTTATCGCAAGACTACCTATTCTCGCTTAGATGGAACAATAGGAACTATTCAGGATCGTATCTATATCTAGGAGCTCGTGAATCCAAATAATAGCTATAATGTCATGTTCTCTACGTATAGTCTTATCGAGTAACGATAATATAGTTATATAGGAGCTAACGCATAGGAGGGAGTGGTATGGCGTCTTGTACTAAGGATCGATGAATTGCATGGTATTGTAGGTAGCGTTATTGAAGCGACCTCGTCTTACTACTCCATCAATGAGAAAATAGATCTCTATCGCGTGTAGACTAAGTTCCTCTAATATCCAATTCGTACAATTATGAATCAGATAACGTTAGATATATCTAGATGTGTACTTACATATTACACCTATGCCACTTCCGTTATTATTTTTAATCGTATATTCTGAAAAGAAAATAAATAGATAAGTCAATTTTTAGTTTAACGAAAGGGAAGAATAATGTTAATTCGTTAACTATAAACGAATAAATAATACATTGATAATAAGCTAGAGTAATTTTCTAAAGAGTCTTTAAACGATACGATTATACTCAACTTAGTAAGATTGTGTAAGTTGGATTTGATGTCCAAATAAATTCAATATAATCGGTTTATGAAAAATGATGCTTTTGAAAAATGATCCTTATCATTTAATAACAATAACACGAAGGGCCATGGATTTATTATAATTTTAATATGTGCCTCCTGTATATTTCGCGATAAAATTGTTTTTCGTTCCTTTATCGAATCCATGCGTATCCTTTACGTTTCGAAAGTTTCTCATTCTTGGAATATTTTTCTACGGGAGAACAAAATCGTTGGACGTGAATATCTCTCGACCGGTATTTCATTGCGAACACTAGCGATGCGCTCGCCCGAGCATGGTAACTCGAAATTTATGCACTTTCCAAGTTTCGATATTACGTGACCGGTGGTGCTTCATTGTCGTTGCAGGAGCGCAATTTGTCGTTTGGTCGGTGTTACGTAACGAGAGCTAAGTAACAAGGACGATCTGTTAAGTTTTATCACTGACATTAATCGAATATTATTATGCATATAATTAATCATTATTTCAGAGATTTAAAAATATATACATGATTTATGATTAAGTGTTGAAAAAAACGTTAGTGTAGTTTTGCCCTCTTATTCTATTGTATGAAAATAAATACAAAAATTGATATACAAAAATTTGTTAAAGGGAAAAAGGAAGAGAGTTAAAAAAAAAAAATAGAGAGATGATAAAGGGGGAAAGTGATTGCTAGAAACGAAAGGACAGTTCACTGTATAGTTGGCGGAAACGACTAGGAATCTCTTTTATTTTGTCCTTTTCTTTCGACGTTTCGTGCCTTCACACCGACCTTTCTCTCTCTCTCTCTCTCTCTCTCTCTCTCTCTCTCTCTCTCTCTCTCTCTTTCTTTTCGTTTCTATACGTAGACATTTCTCTTGAAGGGAGAAAAACGACGCCATACTGCATCGCGGGTAATGGTCGTCGTCTGTTTATCGCAGGGCATTCGTCTCCCATCGACATGAAAATAAAAGGGAAAGCTTAGAAAACTTTACGTCTCTCTCTCTCTCTCTCTCTCTCCCATCTCTCTATTTCACGTAACACCCCTGCGGCATATTACGTGTATACGACGTTCGTGTTAACTCACACGTGCCACGTCACTTCTATATATTTTTTCCTCTTTTCCTTTTCCTGTTTTTCTCCTGTTTTCTTTTTCTTCCTTTTTATTCTCTCTCTCTCTCTCTCTCTCTCTCTCTCTCTTCGTTCTTGGAGCCATCACGCACTCGTATTCGCACGAGCATGACTTTTATAAGCAACGACGGCTAATTCTCGCGTGAAAATATCTCTCCCGAGTTTTGCTACTTCCTACAGCTATTCTTTTTCAAATGTTTAAGATGAATAATTTCAAAGGAATTTATAATATTTTCTTTATTTCATATATAAAATGAATATATTATCGTCGATGAACTATAATATATTATTGTCAGTAATTCAATTCTTTTTTTTTTTTTCTTATTCTCTCTTTATTTCCCTTTTATTTCTACTTGTTCTTCGAAAGTTTAGATAAAAAGTTGAAATCATCTGCGCAAACTCGACGTCTAACATCACGATATTTCTTCGAGCTCGAACGAGAAAAGCACGAAAGCACGAAAGCGAGACGAGGGTAACGACAGAGATAAAGGGACGACCCTTTTCAGAGAAAAGCTCGTCGCGTCGCGCAAGTGTCGAATGTACATAACTACGCCATTGCATCTGCTTCTTAAATATTAAAGTCACTTTCAAGCTGTTTTCATGTCCTCCTCAGAGCGGAACGAGTTTCTTCCACGAACGAAGGCGAAGATTAACAGAAGATGGCTCGACCGAAAGAGATTCAGCCCGAAGGGTCTTACCGGTCTAATTAATCGTCTGGAAGGAGTCGTTGATTTTCTTCTCCCCTCTTTTTTTCCTTTTTCTCTTTTATTTTCTTCCTTTTCCTTTTCTTTTTTTAATTTTATTTTTATCTTCATTTTTATCTCCCATTTCGATCAATATATCTCATGTCGAGATAATAAAAAACGATCTCAATTGGATTCTCCATTTCTTTTTTCTCCTTCTTTCTTTCTACTTTCATTTTCTTTTCTACTATCACAACTTAACATACATTCCAAGTATCGATAATAACAAAATGTGTTATTGTGTAAAGTTTAAAGGGGTAAAAAATTTTGTGTACCTGAAATTATTTCGACGATGTCGCGTTCGTTGAAATTCTAAAACACATGTTTATCTTTGTAAATTAGTAGTTAGAAAACACTCTGGACGGATCTTGTAACGTTAAGGAAGAAGATATATTGCGTAATATCTTCTAATTAAAGAGCACTAAAACGACTACTTCTCTTGACGAAGTACCTACAATGAAGAAATATTTCTCTCCATCCTCCGTCTTCCCTCTTCTCTTTTTCTCTCTCTCTCTCTCTCTCTCTCGCTCTCTCTAGATAGATAGATATTAGAATTTTCTACACGTATTTGCCTTATTCTTCCTACACGATAATTCGAGGCTGATATAGCCTGAGAAGAACAGATGTTCTCTGCCTTTCATATAGACTTACTAAATTTCTCATTTCTTTCTCTCTCTCTCTCTCTCCGACATACACGTTGAGTCGAAGGGAGGAGAAAAAAGAGAAAGAAAAGAAAAAAAACGTAAAAAGAACAAAAAACTTCGTAATCTCATGTTTGTAAAAGTACGAGACTACGATCTTCTCGAGAAAGACGTAAACATCTCGAGGAAGTTTATCGAGAGGAGATTTTGTCGATTACGAGTTTAAGGGGAGTTTGCCGCTCGGCAATTATGAGGGGACCGATTAAATTACCAAGCCGTTCGCCTCACGGCAAGGTGGTAAGCGAATTATTTAAATAAAATAAAATCGAAAGGAAGTTGCTAGTTCGTTCGTTTTTAAATTAGATTTCAAGAATTTTCTACGTGTTCTTTTTTATCGAGAAAAAGCTTACTCTCTCGCTCTTGCTCTCTCTCTCTCTCTCTCTCTCTCTCTCTCTCTCTCTCTCTTTCTTTCTGTCTGTCTATCTCTCTATTTTCGTCGACGTATCGTTAATTCATTTGAAAAATCGTTCTGTATGATTCTGGCGCATGCGCACACTCTCGCGCTTATCGTTCGTACGATCGATCGAATAAGTTGAACCGAGGGCAACGTTTTACGTAGCGAATGTGTACGAGCCGCTTCGTGACTGGTTTCGGACGTTATGAGAATAGTTTTCCGTTCCCTCGACTCAACCAATCCTCTCACTCTCTTCTTTTCTTCCCTCCCTTCCTCTTCTTCATCCTCACTCCCTCCCTCTCTCTCTCTCTCACTCTCTCTTTCTCTCTCTTTCTCACCCTCTTTTCAGGTACTCGCAAAAAAGCCGACTCCGGGGGCTGCAGTTCGTTCGTAAAAATGTTCCACGATGGTTTTCCCTCGGCTATTTGAAATTAACATCGTATTCGTCGCACACTTAGACACTTTTCCAAGCTGGAAAAATTATTGGAATTATAATAGCGTTCTCTTCTCTATTTTTCTTTTTTCTTCTTTTATTTTTTTTTTCCCCCATCTTATTCCTTCCTTCATTCCTTCCTTCCTTCCTTCCTTCCTTCCTTCCTTCCTTCCGTCCTTCCTTCTTCGATGAAGAAGGAAACGAAAGTATCGTTTCGAAGGTGGAACAGTAGAAATGTAAAAGAAAGAAAGAAATTGAATAACTTCACCGTCCCATCGTCTACCGTCCGTTAATAAAATTTCGTGCATTCTCTCTCCTTTCTCTCTCTCTCTCTCTCTCTCTCTCTACCTTTCTCTCATTCTTTCTCTTTCGAAGTTTACCTCTTGCGTACAAAATGCGATTTTAATTAAAGCTACCAACGCAAGCTGCACGATAGCCGTGAGAATATATCAATATTTTTAATTCCACTCGAAATTCATCGGGCCGTGAGATATTTTAATATCAATCCTCTGCCTATATATATAATCGATACCAATATCGAGAGTATTGGAGGATTAAGACGCGAATAAATGCGCGTGCGCTTACAAACTGAAGCGCGCGCACACGTACATATATTTAAAGCATATACTTTGCCATCCGAATATGAACCTATAATATATATATATATATATATGTATATATATATATATATATTTGTGTGTATGTTTGTGCATGTACGTGTATACTCTTTCGAGGTATTGTTCGAAAGATTAATATATTCATTGAAGCATACTAAATTACGTTTATATAATACACTTGTGATAAAATATTGAAAAAAAAATGGAAAATAATAAAACCAATAGAGTACTTCGGGATAAATTATAAATTTAAATATTGGAAATAATCGCAATTATATTTTCAATACATGCACATATATATATATATATATATACACAATGTAAGAATATTAAGATTTTCATATAATCTCAATAGGTCATTACGAAACTCATCGATTTGTATGGAAATAATCAAGACACGTTAGAGAATCACTCATGCGTCATTCCCTGTCTTAATTGATGAAAATCTTCTTATTCGTTGGATAATAGAGTTTCAATTTTCCAAGGGCCCTCTCTCATCATTCGCGTGCAATAATGCGATCAAATTTATCCTGGGTTGTCCAACGAAGCGACCAGCAATATCGTCGATGATGTAGAGCCATGGGATTCATAGGCGTAGGCATTCTCGCTGTCGACATTGCCCAGTTAGAGCCGGTGGGGTTACGACGACGAGTCGCACGTACGACGGAAATTGCAAATTAGCTTAAGCTCGTTTTGATAGGGTTTACGTGAAGCGAGCCCTTTGCCCTCTGCTGGGCATTACCTCGCGGAGGGAACGCAGCTGAAGAAACATCCATAGAGCTCGTCATGTTCATACGTATCCTTGTATGTATATATATGTG